CCCAGCCTCTTCGACCTGGCCCGGAGGAGTCACCCAAAGGCAACTGTTAGAGATGAACAGGGTTGCCGGGCTGCCAGAACAGCGATCTCAGGGCGCGTGTTTACCAGACTAGAGTAGAGGTGTTCGCAGGGAGGGGGACTGCAGGTGCGATGCCTGCGACTAAGCCGCTGGACTGGGCCGGTGTCCAGAGTCCCAGCCCTGGTGACTGACCCCTAGCCTTCCCTCCAGCAGATCAGGAGATGGTGGTTAACTACACCCGTGTCAGCGACCGGCAGTGCCAGTGTAAGTCCGAGATCTATTACTGCGACTCTGAGGACTGCGTGGAGAACTGCAGTCGCTGTACCAGGTGAGAGCCTCGGGGCAGCCATGAGCTGCCTGGGCCTGGGTCCCCGCTCCCCACCTACCACTTGTCTGCTTTGAGTCATTTATGTAGTTGCCTCCTTATATGTCCCATCTGTGACATAGTGGCACCTGCCACATAGAGGCACCCTGGAGATTAAGTCAAAGAAATAGCCTGGCTATTTCCACCTGTGGCTGCCCTTGAGCCAATGCTCAGTTCGCCCACTGAGTCACGGATCCACTCACTCTGCCCATTGCTAAGCCGCTGCAGCGCAGGTAGAGCTGTGCCCGAAGCCCCACTGGTGTCAGAGACAGGCAGGCAAAGCGCATGAACAGTGACGGGCCCATGGTGGCTAGAGGGCGGCCGGCTAATAGAGATAGCAGAAGCCCGAGGAGGGAGGGCAGGCAGGAGCCATAGATAGTTCCGGAGGAAGGGAGCTCTGGGCAGGAAGAACAGCAGTAGGCACCGTGCCCTGGAGGCACAGCTGAATGAGCACTGTCACCACAGGAGTGACCTGGGCTCTGCTGTAAGAAATAGCCAAGACTGGCTACTTTACGAACCGAACAGCGGGACTGGAGTGGCTCAGTTGATTGAGCAGCGTCCTATGCACCAAAAGGTCCCCAGTTCGATTCCTGGTCAGGGCACATGCCCAGGTGTAAGTTGATCACTGGTTGGGGTACATACGGGAGGCAACCAATCGATGTTTCTCTCCATCTCTCTCTCTCTCTCTCTCTTTCTCTCTCTCTAAGCCTGTCCTTGGTGATGATTAACAACAGGAATGTACTCTCCCCGTTCTGCAGACTGGAAGTCTGAAATCGAGGTGTCGGCAGGGCCACGCTCCCTGAGAAGGCTCTGGGGAGAATCCTGCCCGCCTCTGCTGCTTTGGGTGGTGGCTGGCGCTCCTAGGCTTGCAGATGCATTGCTGTGACCTCTGCTTCTGCCTTCATATCATCTCCTTGGTCTGTGTCTCTTGGCCGTCTCCTCTCTACGTACAGATTTCCCTCACATGAGGACGGTGGCCATTGATCAGGGCCTGCCGGCCTCCGGTATGACCTCACCTTAACAACATTACATCACAAAGACCCTACTTGCAGTGAGGATTCATTCTGAGGTTCTGGGTGGGCATGGGTTTGGGGGAACTTCTGGGGAGACATTCCTGGGGTAAAGCCCCTTGCAAAGCAGCTCACTTTTGTGAGACGCCTGGTAGGCCCTTCAGTACAACTCAGACCATGCTGAGCTGTCAGCTCTTGTGTCTGACAAGTCCACAGTCAGGGCTGCCTGCAGGTCTGGTTTGCTCAGGGCTCTGCTTCTCTTGACTCGCTTGCCTGCCCCCATCTTCATGGGCTTCGTTTCTGGGCTGACTTCCCTCTGGGTGGAGATTGGGCTCAAGCAGGTCCACACACAGCTTTTTCCAGGAACAGAGAGAGGGAGGCTTTCCCCCGATACCACAGAATTCCCAAGCTTTGTTCTCGCTGAACGTTTGGGCCCGATGGTCTGGGAAATGCCGGGTGTGGACCTCCCAGAGCTGCGGGGCCTTTCCGGGACCTGGGCTGGCCTGGCGGGCAGCAAGTAATGCTCGGTGTTTCTTCATTCTTCCTCTCAGTTGTCCCGGCGCCACCCTTCAGAAATGCAGTGCCACAAAAGATACCGTGTGTGCCCCAGAGCCAGGTAAGCAGCCTCTCCCGCCTCTTCAGTCTGGGGCGGCCCACCTGTCCATAGGGTGCACGGTCCAGGCTCCGTGGGCCGTGTGCTGTCAGTGCTCAGCTCTGCCCCTGTAGAAAAGGGGTCGGAGGCCACAAGTAGACGTGTGTACTTGGCTGTTGCCAATAAAACTTTATTTACAAAGCTAAACGGGGCCGCATTCAAAGTGCCCTGTCTTGAGTAAACAAAATTCTTGGGGACTTGCTGTGGCTCCCCCATCCTTGCTCTCTGGGTTAGGGCTCTGTGGGGGTCAGGCTCAGCCTCCTCGGCTGACCTGGTCACTCACTGGTACCGTCCTTCCTCACATTCCATGGGTCGCAGTCAGGAGAGGCGCTGGTTCCAGGAGGCCGGCGGGGTTCTCCCCTTTCACGCACACTCGTCCCATTTCCTCTGCCCTCTGTCAGGTAGTCCCCAGTGCCCTGCCGGGTCCCTGCCCTCACGGGCTGTCACATGTGACATGAGCACTTGTNTGCCCTCTGTCAGGTAGTCCCCAGTGCCCTGCCGGGTCCCTGCCCTCACGGGCAGTCACATGTGACATGAGGACTTGAACTGGGCCCTTGCCAGGGGCAGAGGTGAAACCCAAGGCCTCTGGAACTCTTGCGTTATGCCTGCACAAGAATCCTGCCCGATTTTATATCAGGCGTTCCATTTATATCTGGGTTCTTTGTTGGTTTTGATCATTTCAAACGTTGGTAATTATGCATAAACTCAGCATACAGGCCCTTTGTTCTAGAATGTCTCCTCCCATAGGCAGGGTGCCCTTTAACTCGGTTTATGGGGTGTCCTGGTGGACCAAGGTTCTTCATATTAACGTGGCTGGTCTGTCACCATTTTCCTGTGTGCCCGGTGGTCTTCTCCACATGAGACATCTTTGCTCCTCCCGCGAAGATCTCAGTTAGGACCTAGTGTGAGACTAAAGAAAAGCTCTTAGAGGAGCAGTGACGTAAGTGGGAGAGTCACTGTGTTGTCTCTCCCACCCTCATGGGGTGGCTGACACATCCTGGGGCACAGGACCTTTGCCACTCTAATGGGAAGATGGACCTCCTATGGCCCCTGAGCTGGGGTCCTCGTCTCTGAGCCCCGAAGGATGAGCCTGTCCTGCCTCCCACCTGGAGAGCATTTGGGGCCTGGAGACAGGCAGCTGTTGTCCTGCCTGAAGCAGGCATTTGCCTTCTGCAGCATGTCCTTTGGTGGAGGGGACGTGCTCACCCTGCTATGGCGCTCTCTGTTTGCCCTCCCAGGGAACCCAGCCACTAACCAGGCCAGCGGGTGTTTGTCTTTGCCCAGTATCATTGGCATCAGCATCGGCGTTATTGCCATCATCGCCATCATCGTGGGCATCATCTGCTATAGGAACCAAGGTAAAGTAGAGGTAGAGCTGTCCTGGAGCACAGTAGGTCAGCAGCCGCACCCGGGGCTCTGAAACAAGGACCTGGCACCAGCAGTTTCTTGATAGGGCGTTTTTCATTTAAAATAGAGCTGGGCTTACTTCCTGACTCAGGGGCCCTCGGTGCCCGAGCTGGTGCTCTGGGCAGGGAGCTGTGTGCTGCGGGCCCCCTGCCCTGACTAGGCGCTGGGCTTCAGACCCAGCTGGCTGGGGACGGGGCGTCTGCGGTGCCCTCGGCCGGGAAGCAGGGAGAGACTGGTGCTGCTCCAGCCAGGGCTGGGGTCCTGGGGAGGTGAGGGCACCAAGGATGCTCACCTCTCCTGTGTTCGCAGGTGCGCAGATTTTCCAGCGGGTGGTCAGTTACTTGAAACGTAAGTACACTTTCTTTGTTGTGAGTCCAAGTCCTTGTCTCTCAGAAGTCCCTGTGCAGTGAGCATCCGCTATAGTCACGTGCCACGTCACGACAGGCACACGCCCTGAGAAATGCGTCCCCGGGTGATTTTGTGGTTGTGGGAACGTCACAGAGCGTCCGTACGCCCGGAGGGTGCGGCCAGCTACACGCCCGGCGTGCGTGGCATAGCCTGTTGCTCCCGGGCCGCAAACCCGCACAGCATGTGACCGCACAAAACAACACGGGGCTGAATCGTGCACAAGGGGAAACGGTGCTGTCGACAGACGTGGTGAGCAGGCCACGGTGTGTGAGGCTGCCGCCTGTGACACTGTCCCCTCCGTAGAAGGAGCACAGCAAACACAGCGACACAAAGTATTCGGCAGTGGATACATAAAGCTCAGCGTTACCCAGTGTCCCCTCCTCTACATCCTTGCAGCTGCTGCGTTTCTGTACCGCTGGCCTTGCGGGCCTGTGGGTTTGTTTCCACCAGCATTGCCACAACTAGGCGTGTGATACATTGTTGCCCTGTGACAGGATGGTGTCACTGGGCGGGAGGAGTTTTCAGCTCCATGATAACCTGATGGGACCACAGTCGTATACGTGGCCCCTCATTGAACGAGACGTTGGTATGCGGCTCATGACTGCGTTTTCATTTGCTTTTCTTCATTTTCACTTTCCGCAGGATCGAGCGAGCCGGGCAGCCCGGTGAGTATGTTCCCGGTGGTAGCTTCAGGCCTCGAGGGCAGTGGAAACACCCCGGGGTGGGTGCGAGGCAGCCCAGGCCCCTACCTGCGTACACAGCTCGGCTTTTCGGGCGGTGTCTGCGTCCCTTTACCAGAGCCCACAATGTCTGTGCTGGAAAGAGACTTAAACTCTACTGGTCTGGGCCACCGAGGGGAAACTGAGGGGCAGCGGGCCATGGGTTTCCGGGTGCTGCCGTAGCACAAGATCCCAAACGTGGGGCCTAGGAAGTAGGAACTCGTTGTCTCCCAGACCTGGGGGCCAGGAGTCTGAGGCCCTCGGGGTGGATCCTGCTGCCCCTCTGCTCACCTCTCCTGGTGGCTGCCAGCCGTCCCTGCTGTTCCTTGGCTTGTGGGCGCATCTCCCCAGCCTCTGCCTCTGTCCTCACCTGGCCTCCTCCCCGTGTGTCCCTCTGTCTCTGCACTCAGAGGTCACTGGATTTAGGGCCCACTCTCATCCAGTGTGGCCTCACCTGCAAAGACCCCGTTTCCAAATAAGGTCCCATTCACAGGCCCCAGGGGTCAGGATGTGGACCTATCTTTCTGGGGTCACCATTCAACCCCTGTCTTGGGGTCCCCCAAGGAGTTGTTGGCAGAGCCAGACGCTGACCCCATGGAGCATTTTTCTTTAAAACTGCGCAGCCCCAGCTGACCTATCAGACAACTTGGCAAAGTTTCTTGGGAAGGGCTATGCTGCAGGCTCCTGTCACTAAAAGAAATGAGTTTGTCCTTTAGCCAAATGGAAGCATCCAGCCCAGTGAGGACCCTGAGAGAGACTCCCCAGCCCCTGGCATGGAGACAAGACCGCTGTTGGAGAACGGCTCGGCCTTAGCACCCAGGGCCGGGACCTGCCCAGGACCCTCTGAGGAGCCTGAGGAAGGAATTGAGCTGGAGGTGGTGGTGGCCGAAGGGAGCCAGGCAGCCCCAGAGCAGGTGCTACAGGCCTCTGCCCTCAATGTCCACGGGCCCCAGAGCCTGACCAAGGCGCCATCCTCCCTCAGATGTCTGGAGCAGGTAAGGGGACACCTGGCTGAATAATGCTGACGCTGCGCTTATTGAGAGCACTTGTGTGCAGGGCTGGGCTAAGTGCCAACATGTGCTCGCACAAGAAGCCGCACAGGTGTCTCCCCCGGAACAATTGTATTCTCTTCTCTCCCCAGGATTATAAACAAAAGTATTTTTTGAAGGACACGTCCTGTGATGGTAAGTCATCCAAATTCTCGGTCTAATGTCTTTATTTCTGGGAAGAGGGGGTCGTCTACCTCCACGAAGCTTAGGGAAGTTTTCTGTGGACTTAGGACGCTACGTGTGCCTTCCAGAAACGCAGGCCAAGTCTTCCTTCTTGACTTTCTCTTTTCCAGCCACCAATAGGCTGTGTGATGAGTTCTGCCACAAGGTTCCAGAAAGTAAGTGGAAGATGTTCATGAGTCTGATCGGACTTGAAGAAAACGACATTGAGATGTGTGAGCAGGAAACCCCGGGCCGTTTGATGGAGCAGCGTCGGGAGATGCTCCTGCGCTGGAGGGACACGGCGGGCAGGGACGCGTCCCTGTTCACGCTCATGGCAGCCTTCCACGCGATGGAGCCGGGGGAGTGTTTGCAAAATATCATAAACGTATTGGTTGCTGAAAATATCTTAGGTAATCATGTAGAGGCCCCAAACTAAAGATTTCTGGTGCCGTGTTGTGCCATGAAGCAGTGTTATGAGTGGAGAGGGCCCAGCCTCCTTCGCAGGTCCAATCCCATTGAAGCCTTTCTGAATCTCAGATCTTCCTTGTGTTCGGGCCACCATGGCCAGGAGAATATACGAATGAACAGTCATGCTTCCAAGCAGAACCCCATTACTCATTGTAAAACATTGTGTTTAAATCGTCCCTTTTATGTTGCAAAAGGTCCCCCCTGGTTTCCTGTAACAAAAGCTGACAACCTAACAAATTCTTGGAAACCCCTTTACCGCAGTGCCTTTGTAGTTACTGAGTATAAATGAGGGAAGAACTGAGGGTCGGGGCTGCAGTTCGGCCCTTACGTGGGTGACACGCCACAACTGTAGCCGCTGGCCAGTTAATAAAGGCTCCAAAAATTCAAACACAAACTCTGGTGGTCGTCTGTCACGGGTCACCCCAGAACACTTGTCTAAGGCGATCCCATGTAAAGCTCCAATGGGGAGGTCGGTGCAAGCAGGAGGCCTTCTCTGCCAGGGGAGGTGTGTTGGGGCCCCGGCCTCTGCGCTTGCCCCACTAGGCCATGCCACAGTGTGCTCCCCTGTTGACATTGGCATGGCTTCCTATCTAGTCTTGCTTCCCTTGGGGCTTTCCAGAGTCCATTCTGCCCTCACTCAGATGTTACAATGATGTCACTGTCCAAGCACAAATCTGGTCACGCCCCTTGAATGGGTCTCTGCCATTCTTATTATAACCCTTGGATGGGTCTCTGCCATTCTTAACTTTGCTTACAAGAAGTATCTGTCCCAGCTCCACCCATCTCTTGCAGGGGTACTGGATGTGTCCTGTGGTCATGCAGAATTTCTTGGCAGCCTGCCATCTGCTTGCATCATTTGCAGGACAATTCCCTCTGCCTCTGCCTGGAATGCAAGCACCCCTCCCGCCCATCCATCCCCAATCCTGTCCTCTAAGCCACCTTGGAACTAGTCATCTGTCCAGGCCAGCCCATTCCCCCCCCCAGGGAGGTCCTCTCTGACCACCCAGCTGGGGATTATCCCCCCACCATATGGGCCAATGCTAACATAAACACCCATGTGTGAGATTGTTACCAGAAAGGGGACCTGGCCCTCAGTGCGTCTGCCTAGAGCTGGCTGGTAATGTGTAGGTTCTTAACAGTCCAGGTGAATTTTAGGGGATGCTTATTAAAGCTGGGGACATAGCACGGCTGGTGTGGTTCAGCAGTTGAGCATCGACCTGTAATCCAGGAGATTGTGGTTTGATTCCCGGTCAGGGCACATGCCCCGGTTGTAGGCTCAATCCCCAGTGGGGGACGTGTAGGAGGCAGCTGATCAGTGACTCTCATTGATGTTTCTATCTCTCTCTCCCCCTCTCCCTTTTTCTCTCTGAAACCAATAAAGATATATTTTAAAAAAATCTGGTAACAGTGAAACAAGGAAGGGCCTAGGATTACAGGACAAGGTCTAGGTGGGGAAAGGAGCCGAGGCTGGGCCGCTTTGGCTCGTTGAGAAGTCAGAGAAAAGGGGCCTTGGGAACAGGTTCAGGGGGGTTTGCCTGAGATGAGCTGCCGCTGCCCAGCGCCCCCTGGTTGCGAGCCTCCTGGGTCCCTTAGAGTTTATGCCTGTGGGGGAAGGAGAAGGGAAGGGGAGGGCACTGGTATGCTCCCAGGAGGGAGAGTCCACACTGGGACCTTCCTTTTGAGGGATTTTAAAGGCTGGGTGGTTAGGGGAGGTCTGAAAGGAGCATCTCAATAGAATATTCATCCATTTTACTCTGCTGTACCAAAATGAGGTTTATTCCCTTAAGTTCATCTACTTCGGGTGTGGTTGGCAAAGGGCACTAGTTGGATTACCGCTATTTATATCCCCAGGTAGGGTGATTTAAGCTCTTCACCCTCTGGTTGAGAAGAAGTGCAAGCCATTTATTTTTGGCGTCCTTGGTTTAGGGAAGATAGGATTTCTTAAGGGGCTGCAAACTGCCTGGCATCTCCATTTTCTAGATGGGTGCAAACCACTGTTTGCCTCTCTGTCTCCGTTTCCCTAGTCCGCTTGTCCTGGCTTCCAGCCCCGGGACTGCGAGCTGGGTCCCTCCGCGCAGCCGCCCTGGGCCTGGCCCGGTGCCCGGCGGGGATGAGCCGGGCGCGCCGCGGC